GTGGGAGCCTAAAGGCAGGCGAGGCTCTGGAAAATGAGCCCGAGTGGCTCTTTCTGTGGTGAACTCCCTGAGGATCTTTCTGTTCTCTTAGACAAAACCAACATTAGAAAGGAAAATTTTCCTGCTGATGACATGGATTTTCTTTGTCACGAGTGGTGGCAGAGCCCATAAAGTGCTGTTGCTAATCTCTGTGGGTGATGGTGTTCGTTTTCGTGCCCCACAGGTAAAACTTTGGGATGCTGTCAGCGCTCGGTTCGTGTTCGCACAAGCTGTAGTAATTGCAGATGGCGCTGGGTTGGCTTCTCCGTTCTGATGGTGTGCAGTAGCTCAGACTGTGTGCGTGCTCATCTTCTGTGACTATTTACTTGATTTCGCTGTAGGAGATTACCCCTACTTTCAGAAGTTACCAAGTGATAGCTTGCTGACTCTTCCAGTTTTAAAGTGCTTCTTTGCTGAAGCAGAGGTGCTACCTGAGCAGAGCCTCAGGCTGCTGGCTGGCTCTGGTGGACAGAGATGTGGTAGAATGAGCACTGCTCCTAGATCTATGGCACAGGGAAGGCCAAGCTGAATGCATGCTCTGCTTGTGGAAAGTTTCCTTGTACTTATTCCTCTTTTTGCACTTTTCAAAACAGTCAGTGGGCAAATTTTCCCTGCTTTTCTCCAAGTTGAGCCTTTGAAACCGTTTCAGAAGCCCCTGGGGTCCTGCATGCGTTTTAAGCTTGTTAATTGTCTTGGTTGAATCATGTATTCCATACAGCAGCGTCTCACAAACTTGATGCTGTTGGAAAGCTTTATCTGCTCGGAGCTCACTTTCCCTCAACAGCAATACAAATAGACGAAATCCTATGGACCATCCTGTGCAGTATTACAGAAATGACTCTTGTTTGCAGCCAAATCAGAACATTAAAAGAAACAATCACTTGCTTATGTCCTTCTGCTGCCTTTTCTTGTCTGCTGTACCAGTGCAGGTTGTCATATCCTTCAAGTGAACCTCCTTTGACTGCTTCACCCTTCAGCCAGTGGTTTGCAAGCAGGATATTTGGGTCTGCTAACATCCTCCATTTATGTTTTCTGCAGGATAACAACTGCACTGCTGAAGTGTGAATCTGAGCCTGCAGGAATGGGAGGTCCAGGCAGAAGGGAGTCTGATGCACAGAGATAACGGTGTTGTCCAAGGCAGCTATCTTAAGGCAGGTCAGACAGCTGCCCCATGTTCATCAGCAGATTGCAGAGCGTGTAAGGAGGAACATAAGAGGAAGCAACATACATAATGAACCTCTGCTGGTAGGGTATCCTGACCATGGCCAGTTACGTAGCCAGCAAACTTCTGTACCTGATTCCTCCCATTTTGACGTGCAGAGTTGTGCTGTTGTTGTAGCATACTGCTCAGTATAAGGTTGTTACCCCTTTTAGCTCCTTATACCATGGGTATTTGGTTGTGTTGTTGTTTGTTAGTGTGTTTCATCACTTTTGCTTCCTAGCTCACAGAAACTGGAAGGACGTGAAGCTGCATTGCAAGGATGCTGGGGAGGTGCAGTTGGCATGGTGTCTGTGTATAATCAAAGAATATTAGGATGTTATAATCACAAAATAAACAAGAGAGTTAAGCAAAGTAGACTATGATAACAAAAGAGAATAAATAGAAGACTTACCCCTATCCTGGGCTCACCCACAAAACATCAGCAGAGCCAATCTCCAGAAGAGCTCCTTCCCCACGGGCAGCCAGCTCTTCAATAGCTCTAGGAGGGCTGCAGCCAGGCTCCACCCTTTCAGCAGCACGGGTGAATTGCCTTCAGCTGTGCTCCTCTGGCTGACTCATGGCTCACCTCAGGTGATCAATCAGAGGTTCAGGCAGGCGACTCAGCAGTTCCCATACACTCTGTAACTGGGGATTAGTGCTGCAACTAGTTATTCCTAGCAATGTGCTCATTGATGCAATAGTTAAAATTGGCACTTGTGGTGGCTGTGGGTTCCGTGTCCAGGGCAACTAGGGCTGCTTGCATTTCATGCTGCTGTTAAGAAACTCACTCTGTGTATGGTTTTCCATCTTTGATAGTGACACAAACTGCTGGTTGGAAAAGCAAAGCAGCTCTATAGCAGCCTGAAGCATCCGTGTGATTCTACAGCCCAGGGCTGACCACATGGCAGCTCCTGTGGCTGTGGAGCATTGGGACTGCAGAGACAGCAGTTTGTGATGGCAGTGCTGACCTGGGCTGCAAAGCACTAGCAGGGCTTGTGGGTGCCCTTCCCCATCAGGACTCTCTCTCTTTACGTCCAGTGCCTCAGCAAAGGCTAAATAGCACCGTAAATGTAAACAATGCTTATTCTTCCAGCAGTATTTTTGAGTTTTAATAGCATTGCACATGTCCCTCTGTTGTGGTTCAGACCCATCATCATGCTGTACTCATTCATCCCAGAGCTGAAGTTGATTCTGAAGTGATGGCGTTTGAGCTCCTCTGTCACAAAAAGTGCATATGTGCACATACAGCTGATGGCGATGGATCTCTGATAAACCAAAGATGTATGTGAGTGCATACTGTAGTCAGTGTGGCTTACAGATGTCAAGAAATGCATGTCTTCCTGTTTTGCTTCCACATATAGTGATAATATTAAGTATGGTGATGATCTAAGAACTTTACCAGGAGCTGCTTTGACAGTATGAGAACAATTTTTTTTTTTTTTTAAGAAGGGATTGAGACATTTTGCCTGAAACTATTAAATGTGAGATTGCAGTGCTAAACAAGCAGCATACAAAGCGCTTGGATTTCCTGATATGTGTGTCTTGTGTGGACGACCATTCCTGTAATGATTGTGTTGCGACTTTCTACCTGACAGCTTGAATTACCTGCTGGTTGGTTATTAAGGTAGAACTGTGTTTTGAGTATAGCAGTCTTAGCAGATGTGTGTTTGAAGAGTGACTGTAAGGCTGTTACTGTACCTCAGTTTTGTGATTGCTGGCTGTGATGTTTCGAGGAAACGCATTTGAGCAGCCTTAGTTAGAGAACACCTTGATGTGAGAACAGGGAGAATAAAGAAAGTCAGGTGAGTTTAATACTGGCTTTGATCTGAAAGCAAGTTCTCCTATCTCATTTCTGTTGAACCCTGATCCTGGAGGCGAACAGTCACAGGAATATTACCCTTCTCTCCTATGGCTTAGTCCTTATCTGTGCCTCTTTAATCCCGATCAATAGCCAGACTCTAGACCTGAAATGTTAATTTTGCCATTCTGTGGTCTCGTTTGCTGGTGAAGCTTAGTTGATTCTCAGTGCTGTGAAGCAGTGACAAGACTCTGTGAATGGGAGCTCTGTACCTGATGTTTTGTTGTGCTGCGTCTCTGGAGAACTGCTGTCCTGCTGCCCCTTCGCTCATCTCAGCTACCTCCACTCTTAGCAGCCCCTGCTCCTGTCTCTTAATTTTACTGGAGCAGTGAATGTGCCCATGCATGCTGAATGCAATGTGTAGTGACCCTTGGTGCCACACAGCTCCAGTAGCTGACATGCTCTGTGCCTCCCTGTGTCTCTTTGGATTTAAGCAGCAGCATCTTTCCTCTTGACAGAAAACTTGGCCATCTCTGTCTTTCAGATCAGTTGTTGGTGAGCAGAGTGCACGAAGGACTGGTGACAGTTTCCAGTCTCATGCTGTGCTTTTTTCCATGTTAAGTACAGGTTGAACCACGGTTTCTCATTTGGCTGTAAAAACAACCTGCTCTGTGGTTTTCTATTAATTTTATTAATAATTTTACTGCAATTCCTCTTTGAAGAGGAAGCACGGTAGTATTTTGCTTGGATCTATCAAAAATGGCATTGTGTAACTACTTCCACACATCTGTCTGCCTGTCCCATGACTGGGAACTCAGTGGCTGTGGCTAAAACTGTTTTCTCCAGTTCCCCATGTTTCAAAGAACTCTGCCCAAGCACACTTGCTTTGGGCTCAGCGGGAATTTTTCTCTGGTGTTATAACTGAGTTTCATGTTGGTCTCCTTGCACTCTATTTGACTGCAGTGCCATTATTGTGGCATCCTATGGGCCCTTGAGTTCAGTTGTTCTTCTTTGGCTTATGTCTAAATTATTAACCGTGGCTGCTGTTAGTTCCTTTGGGACTGCTGTGTCATAGGGTGAGCTGTCAGTCAATGTGATGCTGTGCTGCAGGGTGACCAGCTGAGCTTCATCATCAGCACAAGTCCTGGACTCCCATTGTGAGCTTTTCTCTCTGTATGTCCCTTTTTCCTCCTGTACCCTCCTGTCTATTTCCAGCCCGTTCTTACACAGAGGATCAATGGCCTACTTACGACGAGCTTGTTTCTGAAGATGATTTGCTTTCTTGCTATAAATGGTATGTAGTTGCCCAGCCAGGAATCTAGTTCTCTGCAAATGCATTCCCAGGTCATCACAGCAAGTCCATAGATTTTTCTGCAGGATGTGGGAATGCGTTTCTTTTTGTTGGAAACAACACTGTGGTGTTTTAATGAAAATTAATGATGGTGACATCATATCCTCTCCAGAATCTGCTGCTCTGAGTGAGAGACCTGGTGATATCCTCTTAGGAGGCTGCAAATAATTTATCTTACCCTTGCTGGCCTGAAGGCAGATCAGATTATTTTGGCATTCACATCAGGGTGTGAAATTGGTAAACAAGCTTCTATTGCAATTCCCCTATGGATCCCTGCGTTTTGGAAACTCAGTGTGTAGCTGCTGTAAAGGTGACATTGGTGGTGGTACAGTCGTGGATGGCTTCTGATATCCAGAGTGAGTGAGTGTAAGCAAGGAAGGTTCACTAAGGCTGTAATGTGAGAGCACTATGTTAATGTGGCCGTGACTGAATCAGTACCACGGGAAGATTAAAAGACAGTACTTGGGTGTTTTAAAAGGGTAACAGGAGATCTAGGAGACTTTCAAGTCATTAGCCTGAGGTGGTGCCTGTGCAATTCTAATGGTAAGAGTTAACTTGCAATTCAATAAAAGAGGATTTAACAGCTAAACATTCTAATGAAAGTAGATTTATCCTTTGGAAGGCAGGGTATAAAATGTGGCAAGTTTATCAAGATTGCATCTTCATTGGTGGAAGTGGTAGAATTGTTTCTCCAAAGCTCTTGATGTTGTGCTTTGGTTTGTTCTAAAGGTTTGCATTGCAAACAGAGTTTGTATCAGATGTATCGCAAACCAGCTCAGTAGGCAGCAAAACACGTAGGAAGTTTTCTTGGGATTGATCCTTGGGCTGCAGGGTGTGTAATTCTGTCCATCAGCCACAGCAGCGAGGAGGCTGGAAGAACTGGGAGGATGAGGTGGGGAGCAGGGCAAGTCAGCAGCCCAGGGCAGCTGGCAAAACAGCTGAACCTTCTCAGGAGACAGGTTAAAGCTAGCTGACCCCAGGGCAGCATGGCTGAGAGGGGAGCAGGGCCCGATGTGATGCTGTAGCCCAGAATTGCTGTGTGTGGCCACCTCCACCGGCCACTGGTGTACCAGCATGCTGTCTGTGCTGCCCAGCTTCTCTGCCTTGCTTCTCACCTTGCTGGCATGCTTCTCTTTCCCACTGCACTAACAGCATAGCAGTGAACTTCAGTAGTCTGCTTCTTGCTCGATGAAGGCAATTAAACTTGTGAGCAGAGTTTCCTATTTTTAGCCTGTGTGCTTTGATCATTTAAACTATGATCATTGAGCTGAGCTAGCAGGAAGGGTGTCTGTGTTTACTATTCAAATCGAGCTGTTTGCTTAATCCAGATTTATTTTAACACTATAACTCTTACTGAGTGCTAGAGCACTAAAAAAAATGTTGGACAAGAAATAGAACTTGTAAAAAAATAAACAATTGGAAGTATTTGAGATAAGTCCCACAGCTGCCCTCACATTGTTCAAAGCAATCTTTCCAATCACTGAGGGACAATTGCAGAAACCAAAAGAAGAGTCTGGAGTAAATAAAAACCGGCCTTCAGTTTTCTTCTGATTCGAGCAAATATCTGAAACAACACCTTCTGACGTATAGGATTGCATGGCTGCAAACTTCCCCTGACAGAGTGGCCACTTCCACTTATTTTGGTAAGTAATCGCCATATCTGAATGTTTGCTGAATGGCGTGAGGCACAGATAACAGAATATCCAGCTCCTCTTTTAACATCACTTAAGCCCAGAGGTGTTCCCTCGTGTCTTTGGCTGTCTCTGCCTTCTGTTGTGTGAAGTGTGTGATAGCAGCTGCTGCTCCTTCTCTGGTCAGTGGGGCTGAGTGTGAGCTTCACCTTTCACTGTGGTGTATTGCTTCTCCATCTGAACAGCAAGCAAGTAGGCTGGCTCAGTCTGCAGCTGTTGCTCTGCAGTATCTGCTCTATTCTAGAGCGTTTGGAGTACTGAAATCAAATTTGTAGCAGCTGAAACTCAGTGCTTCTCGCCAAAGGGATTGTTGTTGAATGATACTTAAAATGAGGTTGTTTGGGGTGTCATCTCTTGTTACAGGTGGTGGGCAGAATGAAGAACTCGGTGCGGATAAAAACTGCTTGGAAGACAACTTTTCAGTATGCAGGCTCAGAACAGAGAACAGCAAGTACATTTACCCTGTCTAGAGGTTGATTTGCCTTCCCCTGGGGTGACTTCTCTGAGACAGAGAAGCCTCTGCAGATGAGGGTGATGCAACTGGATCTTGAGTCAGGGCTTCAAGGGCTTCCTCCTGTAAAAGAAAGCATCCACAAGGTGCTCAAGTCGCTTAAGTGGATTAAGTAGATCCCCACAAAGTGAAGCCTAGCTCTGATTTCTCCCTTAGCAGTAGTTCTAACTCGCTTGTTGTAAAGTTTTGATTGGTTTCCAAGCAGCTTTAGGAAGCAGAGGCAAAGCTGACAATGTCAGTTTTGTGCTGCTGAATGAAAAAACTGCAAACTGGACACAGTCATTGGAAATACTCTGTTCTTTATTCCTCTGCAAATCCAGCAGAAATGCAGTGAATAACCTTTTCTTTCTATTTCCGATAGCTTTGTGCTGTCCCTAAAGCATTCTTTTCCCCCTTTTGACTACCAGAGCAGGGACCACGTATGCTTTAAGCTTGTGGCTGATGATGTACAGTGCTGCAAAACATTCAGTTCCCACTCACTTAAGTAGAAATGCCAACAGCTGCTTTCTGCTTTCCTTGTTTCGTGGTATGGCTCTTCAGAACTTCAGCAAAGGCTCTGGTTTCAGTTGTCAGCTTCATTTTTCAAGCTTTGTCATTCTGGAGTTGCTTCCTCCACAAGCTGACACCTGCAGCGAAAATACCTGACTGAAGCACGGATAAAAGCAGGAATGAATTAGTATTCCTGGCTGTATGCAAAGTAACCTGCTGTTCAAGGTAGGTCAGGGGCTGACAGCAACTCTATCTCTTCTTGCATCTGTTCTTTAATCACGGCTGTCACCTCATGTTCAGGAAGCTTTCTTCCTTTTCTAAGCAGGTCAGGTAGAGAGGGTGCTGAGTCTACCAGCTGAATGTAACAGGATCAGCTGATGGCCAGCATATGTAATGTTTTGGCATTGGTTAATGCTCTTGTTTGCTTGCATGCCTCTAACGGGGAACTGTTGGTTCATTGTAATCCAAATGTTTTGCTAGTGATGTGTCCTGCATCTAAAAGGTGGCAGTATGGCTGCTAATACAAAAGCATTTTTTTCCTTCAGGCTTCCAGGTCATCAGATCTCTGGCAGCAAAAGCAGAGCTGCCTCAGGTGGACAAATGTAAGATGGCCATCTTCATGCTCTCAGAAGGGAAAGATCTACTGCTGTAGACAGGTGAGGCTGCTTGCACACTGTAAAAGAGAGCCAGAGCCACAGAGCCTACCAGGAGTGATAATTTTCAGGCCGTGTGGCTGCTTTCCAAAAACCACTGTGTGAAGATCTCACGTTCATGAGGGCGTGCAGCTTGGAAGAATGGACCTGTTCAAACATGAATATCCCTAGGAACAAAGTCAGAACTTATGGATTCTTGCTGCTGCTGCGAGCTTTGCACACATGCTGCTCTGGCAGATTTACAGTGCGTTAACAAGCATAAGTGGTGGTAGGGGAGCTGGCTTGGCTGCACTGTGTGCTTTTTCAATGAAGATATGCATTCAGCAGCCAAGTGGCTTTATATTAAAGAGCAGTTAGGTACCTGGTGGAGTTTTATGGATCTGAATTGACTTTGCTTTTGAACTTTGCTTCTTGGCCCTTTGTTTTTGCACACTGATATTCTTCCTCATGGAGAATGAGCGAGAAAAGTACTGCTTCAGGGGAATCCCATTCAACTGGTCTAAGGCTCTTGTTTTGCACTCCCAGTGCTGGTCAAGCCTTCTCTTGTTTGTGCTGTTTTTCCCTCTTACATTTACACACAGCCTTGTGTTCCCCAGCACATGGACTAGCGAGAGGCTTGTGCCTTTAATACACAACAGCTGTTAGCTGTGAAATGAGTAGAAAACTTAAGCATTCAGTAAATGCTGTCGAGGGAGTGTACTTGCACTGCAGATAATATCTCAGTGTCAAGCTCAAATAAATCTAGCGTGGGTGACTTTGGATTTGATGAGTATCAGCAGCATTGCTGGAGAGCTCTGGAGAAAGCATGGTTTATCCTGGAATGATTTATCCCATGGTGCAAACAAAGCTGCTGTTGCACCAGATGCATTCAGAGCAAGTAAACAACCTTAAAACCCAGTCCCCAGGCCTGCTTTTCTGTCCCAACGCTCAGTGGTTTGATTGCCTAGGGTGTAATTACTCATTGTTTGCTACATACTCAAGTAACAGTAGCATCTACTCCTTTCTTCTTGAAACACAGCTTCCAGGTGAATGTTGTCACACACAACACCAGTGCTAACAGCGTTTTACTGAATACTGAAAAGCAACAGAACTGCTGCTGCAGGTCATTATATCAAGGTCATTACCTGAATTGTGAACTGAGACATGGCTATTAAGGCCTCAATACCTGCAACTTGCCCCTTCCAATTGCAAACCCAGCTCTGGGAGATGCTGTTGGAAATATCCAAGTAATTTTTGTCTTAACTTTCATTGGGCTGCATTTTTGGCTCTGCCAAGCATCCCTGATGCCTGCAATCCTGTGTATACCCTATTTAGGATTTACGTAACTTCTGGGAGTACAACATTGCTTTTCCCAGTTTGTGGGAAGCCAGACTTAAAATTTTCAGTCCATTGGTCTTACTTGACAAGTAGCTCCAATTTTCTCTACTGAATTTAATCTCTACATTCAACTATTGTAACATATCATGCCCAAATAATGGTTTTGGAGAACCTGGCATGTACAAGAATTTATATATTCCTACTTGTTCTCCTAGCCTGTATTTAATTGGCCCGAAAAAAAGTAAACTTCTCTTGCCAGTAGCTCCTACAACTATTACAAAAATCATCTACAGGTAATAATTCTTGATGTAGCACAGAGTAAGAGTCACCTGTATCAGAAAATAAACCTCTTCACCCTGCTTCCCCAGCTGCTTTCGGTCCTGTGGGGGTGGAACTCTGCCTAAGTCCTTCCAGGCTCCCCTTACCTCTTCTTCTAGGTAAGGGACATCCCTGTTACACCTTGCTCAACTTCGCCTTCCTCAGCTTGTTTTTCCCAAACCCTTTTCAAACTCACCCCCTCCCCAGGCTTCCATTGCTCACACTGGGATATCAGGTTTCCCCAGCTCTACAGATGCCGGCTATTCTCACTTCCAACGTCCCATCCCATTCCTATTCACAACTAATACACCCTTCACATCACAGCGGGAGGCTCTGGCCCCCACTTCTTTCTCCCACTCCAAGTTGTTCTTACAAGCTGCAGTAGGAGGGGTGTGCGGGGATGCGTTCTCCTGCCAGCCCAACTCTAATATCCCAAACTCACTGTTTTCCTTCACCTTTTTGCCTTTTTTGTTTTTCCACAATTCCACTATTTGTACCCTGTATAATCAAAGAATATTAGGATGTTATAACCACAAAATAAACAAGAGAGTTAGGCAAAGCAAACTATGGTCACAAAGGAGAGTAAATAGAAGGCTTACCCCTATCCTGGGCTCACCCACAAAACTCCAGCAGAGCTCCTTCCCCACTGGCAGCCAGCTCTTCAATAGCTCTAGGAGGGCTGCAGCCAGGCTCCACCCTTTCAGCAGCACGGGTGAATTGCCTTCAGCTGTGCTCCTCTGGCTGACTCATGGCTCACCTCAGGTGCTCAATCAGAGGTTCAGGCCGTGGCTCAGCAGTTCCCATACATCCCCTCAACAGCAATTCCACATACCGTTAGCAATTGCATTTCCACATACCATTAAAAGTTGCATTTCCACATAATTTCCACATACCATTAAGACAGTTTCTCCCAGGGCCTTCAAAATCCACAAGTCAAACAATACAATTCCTCAACTTCCACAAACACCCAGCACTTGGTCTCATGATTAGGGTACTCAATTATAAAACTGGTCCCGTTACTCCATTTACGTTCCTGGTTTCTTATTCAATATTCCCCTGGCTCACCAGCAATGTTTCTCCAGTGAGCCAAAATACAGCCCATGGGGTCTTCTTGTAGCACTTTAGACACCCCTTGTTCCATAACAGCCTCGTACACGACATAACACTGTAATGACATAAACATTTAACAATCACAGAGACAGTGACAGTAATCAGTACAATTTATCCTCAGGATCCTTCCTCTCTCTGCCTCCCTCCAGAGCCCAACCTTCCCCCTGTATTCATGTCCCACACTTGCGTAGCTGCCAACCTCCTTCTCCAATAAACAACATATCAATGATAAACATCATTTCCATCCATGAGTACAAATTAGGCCCTAGAAATTGATCTAATTGTTCTGCTACACTTACAGGATCCTCAGTTAAGGAATTCTTTTTGTTTCAAGAAGACAACTCCTAACTTCTAGTGAAAACAGCGGTATAACCATACCCTATTTCCCTTTGACCTAAGAAGACTGCCCTAAGAGGATAAAGTGAGGTGTTAGTAAGGTTAGCATTAGAGAAAGGAAAACTCTCCAGGTCCCATTCACATTACTCCAACTCCCTCAGTCATCGAGAGCACAGCCTCTCTCCAGGACCCTGCACAGATCAGCAGCACCCACTCTTCTCCTCTGCAGAGGTCACTGCTGCCTGCACTGCTTTAGAAATTGAAGGGGGGGGAAGTTATCTAAGGGATCCATTTATGATCTTTCTGCTTCTCTTTCCTATTTCCTTTGAACTTTGACTCCTTGCGAGGAACATTTCTTTACTTCTTGCACCCATTAAGCGACCTAAGCCAATTCTGTTTCAGAAAAAGGAGTCTTGCTGTTTACATAGAAATACAAAGTCTGATAGGCCCAATTTTTGTCAGACTCCTATTTTGGTCCAAATAATGGTTTTCCCTCTAGAGGCTCTCTACTGTATACAGTATTTAAACATCTTTTCCCTGTTCTTTTCCCTAGTTTCGCCATTGCAGTGGCGGTGTCCCGCAAGCAGGAGCGCACCTATGGACACAACATGACAGCCTTTAGACCCTGTTTTCTCCCCCTTGCCTCCCCCCTGCCCTGTTTCCCCAATGGCTGCGTACTCCAGGTTCACAATCTTATCAGAAGGTTGACATTTGCTATTTACTTGTTAATTTATTTGTTACCTGGTGTCAGTCAGCAGCCATCCTGTTGTTTCCAAGATGTCTCGGTGCTCTCCTTGTCCTGTTGATATGGTGATTTTCTTCAAAGTCATCGTTAAACAAAGAGCACCGGGGGGATGATGTCTCTTCAGGCCCTTCCTGGGGTAGGCCATCACTTGTTCTCTGGTTTGCTCTCGTGCAGGATGTTCTTGCAGTGTGTATGACAAAATATACATCTATACACCTATATACAGAGTGTGCGTTCCTGGGAAGGTTCGTCTATAGGATAAGTGATGTAAACTTATCAGAGATCTTCCCCAAGTTAAGTAGGACTCCCAAAAAGAACTATGATAGCGGAGATCATGAAATAAAAATAATATTATCCAAATCTAATGCAGAAACAACATTTGATTCCCACAGATGCCCACCTTTTACTTCTACATTTGTGTCTCTTGGAGAGCCAGCTGTTAAGTTTGTGTGATTGGCACGTTGACATCCTGAGGTCCTTAGGGCTGATGGCTTTACTTTTTATTCACTTGCTGTTGGTCAGAGGGAGTTACAGATGCAGTCTGACTGTCTGGGCTGTAAGAGGAGAACTAAGTGGAAAGCCCACAAATCTCTCCAGTCAACTGCTTCAAGTTTCAAACCTCATCTGTACTCATATAGCTGGAGCACTGCTGCAGCCAAGCAGAGATGCTTTGAAAAGCTGTTTTTAATGTGTTTGCAGGTAAGTGCTAAGTTGCATGTACTGGTTCAGATCTTTCCTAGGATGAACTTCCTGTTTTTGGCACATTAACGTGCTAAATTCAGACTGGCAACAGAAGGGAATGGAATTAGAATAAACATGCTGTAGTGTACCAGTGTAGAGCTTCTCCAATTGAAATGGCAGGTTTTGGTTGTTTGGCTTTTAATAAAGATGTTAGAAATCCAGTGGGTCTAACTGAAGGCAGTATTTCAAAGCATTTGATTGATGTTACTTGGGATGTTAATGTAAAACCAGGGATGGGGTGCTGGAAGTGCTGGTTAGCATATAAATAAAATATTCTGGCTGCTTGCTGACTTGCAGCATTTTTCTGGAGCTGCATGCAGCTTTCATTCTGTCTCTGTGATATTGCTAGGAACAGAGAAATAAGCTACTGCTTGTGGTAGCTGTTTGCTGTGCTATAGAAAAGCAATGTACTATTTTGCAAAAGGGAAAAAAAAAAAGCATTCTTTGCTATGGTAGCACCAAAGGAAAGAATAAATTGGTTTTGAATTGTTTGCATTAAAAAAAAAAAAACAAAAAAGAATTGTAGTGCCATGTTTAGAGCTGTGGCAGATACTTCTGTGTTCTCATTGGCTTTCTTGAATTCAGGAGAAGAGCCATGTTAGGATTTGGTGGATTTTCTGTAATTCAGGCTCCCCATGCTCTGCATACAGTGCCTGCAGTGAAGCAGAACTGAGGCTTGGCTGAAGATTTTTCAGTGAGGACTTGTATGGCTGGGCCTGAAATAGAAGAACCGCGCCGTGGCCTGTTCGGCTATCCAGCTTCGCACGGAAGCCAGGAGGGGACAAACCTTTTGACATCAGCATCTTCTCAGTTTGCATTTGGCTGCAAGTGATGCAGGTTTTGCAGCAAATCAAGAAGACCTGAATTATTCTTGCAGTGCAGCACTGCCTTGTTGCATGTCATTGCTGTCCTGAAGTTGCTGAGATGTTTTGAACTGGAGATGAGACCCAGCCCCTGCCTGCAAACCATTCAGGAGCTGGGAGCTCTCTGAATGTGCTGTCGCACAGTTGGAAGGGTGCTCCCTTTTTTATTGGCAGGGAGCAGGTGAAATAAAACAAGATTAATCAGCTTGGGCAGATTGAATGGCTTGCATGAAGGAGAAGAAAGATTGAGTGCTGCTTTTGCTATAAGGAGGAGCCCTGTGCGATGCTGTCCATCCAGGGTTCCCACAGAGAGAAGATGGATGCTCTTGAAGGTCTGCCTGGGCTAGAAACCATCTCTCATTCAAAACAAGACTGACGAGGAAGGCTGGAGGGCTTGCCAGAGACTTGATATGCAGGCTGTCCTATCCTGGGAGTGGCTGCTCTGCCCTTTCTGCACACTCCTGTGCAATCTGTGGCTCAGCTGCTGTTTCCAGGTTGTAGAAGATGTTGGTTTGGATACCTGCATTGGGAACTGAAAGATGCCAATGGTAGATTTGTTCTCCTCCGTTGCTGTTGTGTGACAGTGCAGTACTTAAAGCTGACTTTGGTGCCTGTGCTTCCATGGTAGCTTAGCGCCTGAGCTGCAGGCCATGAGGCCTCCCCCTGACCTCTGGGCTGAGCAAACCCAGGGTCCTCAGCCATATGTGTTCTTCAATATGCTTAAATGCCTTTAGGTTAGAGCTGCTTATTCTCCAACTTGCTTGCATTTTCCAAGTAAGCCCCTAAGACCGATGTACCTTCCTGGTGAAGTGGTGATAAGTGTGCTGCTGCTGCTTTCTCCTGAGCACTCAAAAAGCGCCGTGTGAAGGGTGTTTATTTCTTGAAATAGCTTTTCTGCAGGGCAAAAGCAGTTTAATTTAGGTAAATTACTCACTAGGCATTTAGCAGATAATTTTACCGTCTGTACTGCAGTCCGTTGTCTCCGATTTATCCGTGGAAGCAGAGCTGTTTGTTGATGGATTGAGGCTTTGTCCTGGTTGCATTTTAAGTAGACATCTCCCTGGTGATGAGGTGTAAATGTCACATTACCTATTAGCATTTGGCAGAGGGCACCAGAGCAAAGGAAAGGATGCTCATTCAGCCTTCTACAGAGAAAAAGAGGAAATTAAAATCATCCCTTTGCTCTGATGGACTTATTCGGTGTGTTCTTCAGCAGTTTCCTGATTCCAGCTCACGTGTGGGTCTTGTAACCCAGGTGTGGGAGAATCCCAGTTTTGCTGCCTTCTTGTTGTGCCTGCAGGGGTTCAGAGCTGGCTCTGGTGCTGTTCTGCACCACTGGTTTTTCTGTAGGGCTGAAATCTGGGCCAGTGTGAAGGTCCCCAGTGTGGGCAGGCACTGTGCTGGTGTCACTGCCTGTGCCCTCGGGGCCTCTGCATCCTGCTGCTCCTGTTGCTGTCTATGGGTGGAGATGGGTCACCCCGAGGCTTTGGTTCCCTTGGTGTTCCTCTGTTTCTGTACCTTTTCCATCATCAGGCATTTTCTGTTTCCATTTTCCCCGATACTTCAGGAAACTGGACTCGAGGTATGGAAAGCCTTTGGCTTTTTTCAAGTCTTCATTGTCAGGTTTTCCATGGAAAGCGTTACAATCCTTTGGGTGTTTCACTGTGTGCTTACCGCAGCCAGAGTTGCTCCTCACGTCTTAAAATGTGTGGTTCCCCTTTTGGAGATGGCTGTTTCTTCACCTTGCCAGAAAAGGTGCATCCTCCTGGATGGCAGATGCCTACACAGTTCCCAGGCAAGAGGAGATGGGCAGGTGCTTAGGGGAGGCAGTAGTGTGGTGGGT